TCAAGTAAGCAATAGTAATTAAATATTTTTTCCAATTTAAGTATTTCTATTTTAGGCAATAATTAATTAAATGTCATGAATGATTGTATTTATTTTTTTAAGAAAGCACGATAAAAGAGAGTCAAAGTATGGTCATTGATCTTACAAGTGATGACGATGGTGTATTTATGGTTCGTTCTAACAGGAGAACCAAGCAATCAGAAGGTAAGAAAATATCTAATGTGATGGTAAGTAATTATTTAAGTATTATATTATCTTACACCGTTGACATGCATTTTTTTGAGTAGGGTTTAGTAACTTTTTTAAACATTATTGAAAAGTGTCGGCCAATTATTTGAAATTCAAATAAAAAAATTAACATAATTAATTAATATACAAAATCATTTTGGTCAAATATTGCGGCTATTATCTTTATTAGTTGCATGATTTGAATTTGGTATATAATATATTGACAAAAAATACAAAAATTAAAAATTAAATAAATAATTATTCATAATTTATGGGTCAATATTAACTTAGGCGTAAATAAAATATTTAATTATTTATAGCTTAATAGATTACTCACCTACTTATATTTTTTTATTTGAATAGTTTATACAAAAATGATTTCATTTTAATTAATGAAACAATATAAGTTTATATTTATACTTATTATTCACATAGGTTTCTAAATATATGATAAAATTTTATCAAAATAATTATTTTATGAAATTACATTATAGTCTAATCGAATTTTTGAAAAAAATTTGTGAAATGACACTTATTTTGAAATGAATATAATTTTAATTTATCATCAATTATATGTACCGCACGGGTTTTGTACAAATTTTAAANTAGACATTTTTATAAAATTTACATAATTTAAATTTTATATAATATTTTTAATAAATTAATATATATAAATTGTATTACATATTGATTTCATATATTTAATATATAAATATTATTTAATAAAAAATTTAATTTATAAATATTAATAAATATCTCTTACCCGTGGATCGGATTCATACTAGTAAGGAAGAAACAAAAGAGGTATTCAGTAACCAATAGCTACAAAGTGACATGAGATACTGACAAAACGAGTGTGCGGTTGGGAGTTCACAAAGAGCACCGCCATACCATCTAATTAGCGACCGATGCATTCCCTACCTTTAGTGGTCTTCACTGAAATAGATAAACCTAGCACAAGTGCGATGATATGCTTCACATGTCAAGTCATGTCGGTGCCGAAAGAAAGAAAAGACAATTCCCGAGGAATGAAAACCGAGCAACGCCGGGTTTCTAGGACAAACTCCAAAGACTTTTCGAGTCTCCCACTAAGTTGAACTTGAGGGGCTGGTATTTGTAAAAACGGGCCGACCTTATCCTGTACGTGTTGTTTCTTTTTCAGCTCCTTTTGAGCTTTTTTCAGCATATCCTGTTTATCCTCTCTGTATCTGGCAATATCACACTTGAACACTTGTATATCCATGCGCGGGGGTCGTTTGGACCGTTTGTTTAGAGCTGTCTGAACACGGCAAAATACGACTTCCCGGCCACAACCTGAGGGCTGGACTGTAGCAAGCGCCATTTGAAGTTCATAATCATCATGACTATACAATGGCATTGGTGGGAATTGACAACAGATGGGCACTATGGGCACTGATATCGGGATATCCACATCGAAAACATAGTCATGGGAGAAGGACAACTCTCCTTCAATAGCTGAAAGGCAGGGATAACCGAAATATCTGGGAATCTTACAAGCAGGGGCTAAGCAGTCTTGCCACCCTCCTCCACACAATTCCAAATCGAGCTCAAACATCCCGTTTTCGGTGGTGACCACCAACACAGACTCCCACCTGAAAATAAAAGATTTAATGGTAACAGAGTAGAGACAAGAGCTCTTTCGACCTTTATCCCACCTCTCATATAACTGAGGGAGCTGTTTCCATTCATCAGTGGCGGGATCATACAACTCGAAATCATTTGGACGGTCAACACCAGCATCCGGATGAAATAGGATGTGACTGGAAAGTACTAGGATTTTCCCGCCAGGGGTTGCAGATGCGCTCGGAAACCTTTTTGGGTGACGCATAGGTTTGATGTATTTCACCATACTATCATCCAATTCAACATTTTTCATGTTTCGGTATTTGAACAGATCGACAGTAGCTACCGGCGTCGAACGACCGGCGCAGTCAGGGTCACCATCCAAGTCATCGCTGGACCGAAACAAATAAAGGGTCGACCCCAAAACACAAGCAGTACAGACATCGAAATAGTCAACAAAAAGCGTAGGGGAAATAGAATCGCCGACAGGATTTTCAGTGGAATTCAGATCTACAAGATATATATCGAAACCTTTACTCGAAGACGCACGCCTACGATAGCAAGGAACACAAAGCAGTTTCCCATCTGATGGAGAAGCTGATGAAGTTCGCCGGCGCCGCTTAGCGGATGAAGGTAGCCCACAATCCATTCGCAGGTTGGAGACGGGAGTTGTATAACTTGACCTAATTTGCTGGATTGAGAATTTATAGAAAACATATTATAAAAATAATTATTTTTCTAAATATATTTATTATTTAATTAAAAATATTTGAAATATAGAAAACGTTGTATTATAATTAATTTTTTTAATATAATAATAATAATAATATAATTTTAAATGTATTTAAATTTATATATATCAAATATATTTAAATTTATATTTTTGTTATATTAAAATTATATAAATATTTATTAAATTATCTTAAGAAATATATAATTGACATGTCTGATCAACCAATTCTGATCAGTTCATTGGAAGCTAGTTAGTTGAAAGGAATCAAACCGTTTAGTTGATTGATTCTCGATTCAATATGAAGTTGGTCCAGTTTTCAAAACAATAGTAGTTGATATTATTTTTATTTTTATTTTTTTATAATTTTATTAACATCTACAATTCTATATTTATTTTAAAAAATATATTAATTATTTAATTAAAAATAATTGAAATATAGAATATATTGTATAGTAATTATTATTTTATTTTTTGTCTCAAAACTAAAGTTTTACTTCTAAAGATTGTTATATACTCACAAAATAAAAATTGTAACAAAAAATAGTAAAATACATTTTTTTAAACATTTGGGACTAAATTTGCAACACGGTCAATTTTGGACTAAATTTGCGAATTTCTTTTTCAATCTAACGATCAACGGCCACGTGACTCGCATGTGACACTCCGTTAATGTTGACGGCTTTGAGACTACTTTCGCACGAAAATTGAATTTTCACCACGACTAATATTGCAAGGGACCCAATACAAAATGTGCAGTTACCTCTCTCCATATATATATATCCCATCTAAATTATTGGTCTTTGCAAGTCATTATCAATTATTGCTTGACATGCGACCGCGGCTTCTTATTTTGTTTTTGGATTATTATCACACGAACTTAGAGAAGATAGAAGTAGCAATAACCTCCAATCACTCTTTTTCTTCTCCAAATCATTTTCTCTCTCACACACTCGTTAAGGGAAATGAAGACTGTGTGTGTAACAGGGGCATCAGGCTATATCGCTTCATGGCTCGTTAAGTTCTTGCTTCTGCGCGGCTACACTGTCAAAGCTTCTGTTCGTAATACCAGTTAATTTCGTTTCTCTCTTTCGAGCTCAAAATTCGTTATATACATACATAGATATGTAGGTATATGTGTGTGTTTGTTATGTAGCCAGACTTGTGTTTTGGGCTCAATATGTTAAAAGCGATTTTTTTAACCATTTTGTCCGAAAGAAAATCGATACGAAAGATGCAGACTTTGATGATCTTTGTTTTGCTGATGTTTGATTAAATTGTTTCTGTTATCTTTTCTGCACACACATTTGTTTTATTGATTTAATAATTGGCCACAATCATAAGCAATATATCTCTGTCCTTTCTTTCTTGGGCCTAAAGTGAGGAGTTGTTCTATATATTAATTTATGCTCCAAATATTAGTGAATACTTTATTTGCAAATTCAACTATTGGATATTACTTTATTAGTTTGTCACATAGAATATATATAATGTTGTGGATGGACGCTGCATGAAGATTACTGAGCAACATATCAGAATGATGTGAAAAGACCTATTTTTTTTTTTATCATCTAATATGCTTATTTTCCACTTACAAATTCCATTTGTAATTGTATTCTTTAAGAAATATCCAAGACGTGATTGTGTTATGTGAAGCACAGAAAACTATGCAGTAATATTGCTTATTTGCTTATGCAGTTGAATACAAGAACCTGCTCGTGATGTTGTTATTGTGTGGAGACTGCATGATGTCTAGTTTGAGTTTCTGTGGATGTTTGTTAATTTAAACTTTCTAGAATCATTAAGGTTTGAGTAATAAAATCAAATAAGACGATGTTTTACAATACACCACATGTCATCTTCTGTGTAATTTGTGATCTTATTGGACTATTGATAACCTGGCAGATGATCCAAATAAGACACAACCTTTACTGGCGCTTGATGGTGCAAACGAGAGGCTTCACTTGATAAAAGCAGACTTACTTGAAGAGGGATGTTTTGATGCTATTGTTGATGGCTGTGATGGTGTTTTCCATACTGCTTTCCCATGTTTCCATACAACCAGCAATCCTCAGGTTTGTGCCCCATTATTTTGTTTTTCCATTTCGTGTGTTGTTATCCAAGTGACTAGCTTCATCAAATTATTGCATTAAGTAGTTTCAAATCCAAATTCCAAATTTGCTTCCCACATGTTGAGTGTAACCTCACATTTGAGTGACACAACTCCTGAATTCTTGTTAGTTCTGTAAACAGTGATCGAAGAGAGGCATACAATATTGACTCGAAAATTGGGCGTAAATCATAACTCTTCACTTCTTCTGAGAAGAATAAATACTTCAAAGTCCCTTGAGGAATTTCCTTGACGGTCCGTCTGTTTGATCTATTGTTGCAAAACGGTCTATTAGAATATATTAACGGAATTACATGTAGCTTTCTTCACCTTATAGTATTTCTTGTCCAAAACTTTTAAAACAAAGTTTGAACTTTAGGAGATTGAATTCCAGCTGAATAGCCATTGAAAGGTCCGATTCATTTAGTATAAGACAATTGTTTGTTATTGTTATTGTTTTAAGTTTTTAGTTGACATACTTTATATCTTCTCCAGACCTTGAAAGTATGTCTAACTCAGTTCAACTTTCACTTATCTCAGGAAGACTTGATTGATCCTGCATTAAAGGGGACACTGAATGTGCTTCGATCGTGTGCGAAAACACCATCAGTTAAAAGGGTTGTTCTCTTCTCCAGACCTTGAAAGTATGTCTAACTCAGTTCAACTTTCACTTATCTCAGGAAGACTTGATTGATCCTGCATTAAAGGGGACACTGAATGTGCTTCGATCGTGTGCGAAAACACCATCAGTTAAAAGGGTTGTTCTGACTTCCTCTATAGTTGCAGTTATATTCAATGGTAAATCTTTGACTCCTGAAGTTGTAGTCGACGAGACTTGGTGGTCCGACCCTGAGCTTTGCAGAGAAGCACAGGTCATTGTTTGATTCCTCTTATTCTATTCACAAATTTGTGGTTACGAAATAATACTCTGTTTATTTCTTGGTTTACTTCTTCAAGAGAAGAACATTCCACCTGAAACCGAATAAGAATTATATGTTCACATACATACTTTGATAGAGTTATTGTTTCTCTTCATTTTCGTACTATCAGAGTATCAGTCTACCACTGCTATTTGTACCATTTGACGGTTAGAGTTCATTAGGTGAATTTTCTCGAGCTGTAAATCTTTTGACACGTGTATGAACTCAACTTGTCAAAAGTAGGCAAAAGTCAAAAACTATACCTATCAAATTCAACACCATACAATGCACATTGAACAAATGGAAGTTTGTAACACAATGCATATCTATAACATATGCATGCACATATGTTATTTTAGGTCAAGGGACTTTGTAGAAACTTGCTAAAAAAATTATATTCGTTAGATGAGTAATATGTTTGTAGATCAAATTACTATTCTTCTCATTTTATTTAGTTATTTTACAAAACTGGAATTATTGTGTGCGGTTTAATTTTTGACAATAAATGACCAATTAAACACACTCACTCCAAGCAAAATACACATATTTAGCCAACTGATGTTTTGTTAATGTTTGAGCAATAGCACTAGATTTCATGGTCTGTAATAAATCACTGAACAACAAAATGTGAAGTAGTCAACACTTGACCACACAGTGTACCTGTAATCTTGTGTGCATGAGTCAAAAAAACTAACAGACAGAAACAACCGCCAGTTTGTTAATTTCAATCAACATTAAAGAAAAATGGGAGTAATGTGTCCGTAGCGGTCACCTCCACCTAAGGGTTGGATTTAAATGAATTCTGATGGAAAATTTTAAAAGTCTGTCCACCTTCAGTTTTTATTTTGATAAAAGGATCATTGGGGATGTTCATGTTATGTATAAAAGAAGTGCGGGAAAATATTCATGTCTTGTGGACCCCAGCACCAAAGGAAAGTCAGACATTCCCTCTCACAAAGAATGTGTGTTTATATTTTCATTGGATTAGCAGAAAGTAATATAGATGTTAATTATACATCTCTTAGCTTATATCTGGTTCGAGCATTAAGGAGATTCCTACAGTAGGTATTTGACTTTATACTTAATTGATTCAAGGATAAATCCAATTATACAATATTCCATTTAGACACAACTTTATGCAAATTCCTTAATTCGTGGCATGTTGTGTGAAATTCATAGATTTCTTTTCCTTGTGTGCCTTTTCTTTTCTTTCGCTTATCTATTTATTTATTTATTTATTTTTTAGGCATTTTGGCTATTGATTTTGTTGTGCGACTCTCCATGACATTATGGTGTGCAATCTGATTCTATCAGCAATGGTATTTCTTGTCAAAGACGTTAGCCGAGGATGCTGCTTGGAAGTTTGTGAGAGAGAAAGGTATTGACATGATCGCTATAAACCCATCTGCGGTGATTGGTCCTCTGTTGCAACCAACTCTCAACGCCAGTTGCGCTGCAATTTTGAACTTGATCAATGGTGAGTTCTATCCTATCCAGTCAATGATCAACTTCTATTCCATTTCACTAAATGAACTTGTTGTAGTTTTGAGTTGCATTGCGAACTGCTCGTCCTCATTTGTTTTGTAATTCCCCAGTCAACAATATGCAACAATGTACAGACTTTTAAGCTAGTCAAATTATTGATCATATGGAAATACAATTGAAAGCTTTGGTGCAATTGAAAATTCATTTAATTCATTCCTTCCCATATCTCTCTCTTTTTTTTTTTTGTTTAATGAGTGGAGGGAAGAGAAAAAAAAGGTGAAATGGATGAATGGAATGAAATGAGATTGGGTTGTATTTCCAATTGTACCAGATAGCAATTGGATATACATTTTAAAATCAAGTTCTATAGATAAATGTGTAGCAATGACTCAGTTAAAAGCAGAGTGGAGTAGTGTAAAAGTGAACTGAATGAATGTTGTAATTCTTTGATTGGCAATTGAGTGTAATATATCCAATTGCTCCCAAAATTTTATATTAATGGGGCGACATTATCTAAATGCTAGTAATTCGTTGAATCAAGTACATATCCCCAGGTTTTCTTTTTTCTTCGTCGTTCATTTTTTTTTTTCTATTTATAATTATCTCAATTCTTGGTACACGCAGGTGCAGAAACATACCCAAACTTAACATATGGGTGGGTGAACGTAAAAGATGTTGCGAATGCACATATTCTGGCATTCGAGAATCCTTCGACCAATGGAAGGTATTGTCTGGTTGAGAGTGTCAAACACCATTCAGAAACCGTGAAGATAATTCGTGAGCTGTACCCCACTCTTCGGCTGCCTGAAAAGTAAGTCCTGATTGTGATTCAACTTCACAAATACTTGAACATTTGCATAGTTGATCCCAAGTTGGGCCAATTTAGTTGAGTCCAACAGGCTTAAAATGTGAGACCCGGCCCTTCCTTTTTGGGCTGGGTCTGCTTAAAATACATCTTAGCTGACCAAGATTGTGATGCATAAAATCTTGAATGTAGGTGTGCCGATGACAACCGATTGATGCCAACGTACCAATTCTCAAACGAAAGAGCAAAGAGCCTTGGGGTCGAATTCATTCCTCTCAAAGAGAGCATTAAGGAAACTGTTGAAAGTTTAAAAGCGAAAAACTTTGTGTAAAGTTACTAGATGAGCCCCATTTGCTGGTGTGATGAGAACTACGTTGTGTATTGTTGTGTATACCTATAAAATAAAAAAATGTAATGTTGTTACTATAAAATTAGAAAAAGAAAAAACTTTTTGTGTCAACTCTGTGTACTATTTGTAATTTGAAAGAGGGAGAAAATTAGATGATGTGTGTGTATTTTTCACAGCTTCTACATTGTAATAGATATGGAGCAAAGACAGTATCTAGTAAACAATATGATAACGGAATCTATATATATTGAAAAAGAGAGGTCAATAAATCATTTGTGGAAACTTTTAAAAAATTGGTCAACAACCCCATTGACTTTCCATTTGTAGAAACTAATTTAAAAATCCTTTCAAAATATATGGTTTTTTTTTTCCTTGATGGATATACCTTTAACGTGATAAGATATATACATGTGATTGCATATTTTGTTGTTGCATCACAAAAATCATGGTATTTAAAATCTATCCAAATACAATCCATAATTATCTTATCACTTTTGTTAATAAAAAATTGTATAAAAGGATATTCACTACCACCATTACAACTCATCATTCACGAGTTCAGAGAAAAAAAAAATACAGAGAATAATTTTTCATCGCATATACAATATAATGCTCCAGGCTGGGGTAAACTTGATATATAATGCTTCCAGACTGGGTACGTTAACAAAAGAAACAAACCTTTTTTTGCGCAGTCCGCATTATTGAAACCCATCACGAACGGGAGAGCAATAACGCATTTTCATGATAAACATGTAATATTTACCTTTTTTATTTCAATTTTATATAATTTAGAAAATTATTTTAATTAATATTTATAACAAACCTTTTTTGCGTCTGAGAGCAGTCCGCATTATTGAAACCATCACGAACAGGAGAGTTGTAACGCATTTTCATGATGAACAGGTAATATTTACCTTTGTTATTTCAATTTTATATAATTTAGAAAATTATTTTAATTAATATTTATAACAAAGCATTATTGAAACCATCACGAACAGGAGAGTTGTAACACATTTTCATGATGAACAGGAAATATTTACCTTTGTTATTTCAATTTTATATAATTTAGAAAATTATTTTAATTAATATTTATAACAAACCTTTTTTGCGTCTGAGAGCAGTCCGCATATTCACGAGCAGGCTGGGGTACACTTGATATATAATGCTTCCAGACTGGGGTACCTTAACAAAAGAAACAAACCTTTTTTTCGTTTGAGGGAGAGCTATAACGCATTTTCATGATGAACAGGTAATATTTACCTTTGTTATTTCAATTTTATATAATTTAGAAAATTATTTTAATTAATATTTATAACAAACCTTTTGAACAGGTAATATTTACCTTTGTTATTTCAATTTTATATAATTTAGAAAATTATTTTAATTAATATTTATAACAAACCTTTTTTGCGTCTGATAGCAGTCCGCATTATTGAAACCCATCACGAACGGGAGAGCAGTCGGCATTATTGAAACCCATCACGAACGGCAGCGCTGTAATGCATTTTCATGATGAACAGGTAATATTTACCTTTGTTATTTCAATTTTATATAATTTAGAAAATTATTTTAATTAATATTTATAACAAACATTTTTTTGCGTCTGAGAGCAGTCCGCATTATTGAAACCCATCACGAGCAGTCCGCATTATTCAAACCCATCACGAATGGGAGAGCTGTAACGCATTTTCATGATGAACAGGTAATATTTACCTTTGTTATTTCAATTTTATATAATTTAGAAAATTATTTTAATTAATATTTATAAAAAACCTTTTTTGTGTCTGAGAGCAGTCCGCATTATTGAAACCCATCACGAGCGGGAGAGCTGTAACGCATTTTCACGATGAACAGGTAATATTTACCTTTGTTATTTCAATTTTATATAATTTAGAAAATTATTTTAATTAATATTTATAAATTTGTATCGTAGGTGCTTTCATTAAATGCATAATACATTATCCGAATATGAGAGCAACAAACTTTATATAAACTGAGAGCAGTCTAATTTTTGTAAAATATGTAAACTTTAAACGTATTTTATATATAAAATTTTATATACTTTTAAACATGTTAGTTGGGCAAATTTTAAGGATATATATATATGTGTGTGCTAACTTTAAGTATATATATTTTTCTTATAAAATAGTCTAGACAAAATTGAGGTAATTTCACATTTTTCAATAATAATATAAAATATTTTAATACTTCCACATATGTTATATAATAGTCTGCGTATTCTTAATGTCTTTTGGTTGTAACACTATTAACACATATAATATTAGATACTTTTAAACATATTTAGATATTTTTTTTACTCATTCTTTAATATCTATGTGCATAAAAAGAGAATAAGATTTATAAAAAATTTTCCGGCAATATACTAAATGTTAGATAAAAATCTCATTTTATTTGTTATATAATATTTCGAGTTGCATTAATTTTGATTTGTATGTGTAAAATTGATAAATTAAGCGTATGAAAAGGAACGTACGAATTACTGTAAAGATTTAAAAAATAAAAAATAAATCTAATATTTGAATATTTTCTAAACGAATTTATGTCATAATTCGTCATAATTTTCCCACATCATGTCAATATTTATTTTATCTATACTAGGTAAAAGGTAAATCATTATCTCAATATTTATTCTATATATTCTAAGTAAATCTTCTCATCTATCTCAACGGTCCGCAGGTAGTATTTCATACTTTTTTATTCATAATCAAATATACCAAACCTTCACAAATTTTACTTCACAAAGAAAGTGTTCAATAATTTATATTTTTTTTCCTTCTTTGCAATCCATTTATTTTTATTACATATATATAAATTATATTATTTTTAATATTTCACACGTTAAACATTTCAGGAAAATATACCATCCTGTGCATCGCACGGGTACTGTACTAGTAAAACATGGAGTGGAGTGACTATTTTTCTTGTAGAAATTGCTCTTTTCTGCTTTTTCCAACACTTAGTTGGTTGGACCTGATTTTGTTATGTGTACATAATTTAACTTATATGGGTGATCTTCTGCTTCTTAAATTATTCGACATAAAAAGGATAAACCAAAAGTACATTTTCCCTTTTACCCCCAAAAACACGTTCTCTCACGCTCAACCGAGAAAAATAAAAAATAAAAGGAGCCAAGAGTAACCCACTCGGGCTTGCCAGCTCTACTAGTACCATATAAAAACTGCACTTCCAAAATTTTATTTTATTTTATTGAGTAATAATTGTAAGTGATCCCACATATATAAAATGCACAACAAATTTAAAAACTCCACTTCCAATATTTTATTTCATTGAGTAACAATTGTAAGTGATCCCACTAAGACTTGATAAAATGCACGACTATTTCTTGCTATGGGCTATCCCAACCTTCTTGTACGGGGTTTTAATGGCTGACACATAAATACGTTTACAAAATAAAAATAAAAATTAGAATTTAGACTTAGTATCATATTTATGATAAAGTCAAATAATACGCAATAGTAAACAGTTTTGCCATGGAGCTATCGGATGACACGATTTATTGAGTCATTCATAAATATTCACAAATAGTGTATTGACACGTGTCTTACAATAAATACACGTACATTAAGTGATGGATAGTTTCATAAGAAAACAATCTGATGATTTCATAAAATTTCTGCAATAGTAAAATACGAACACAAACACTATAACACAATTTGACATACTATTTAGCAATTTTTAATTTTACATTATTGCTCTTAGACTTATAATGTTGAATATTATATTGCAGGAACTACTNTTGGTTCTCTTGCCCATTTTTATCATAACGTAAGATCAAGTAGTTTATGTCCAACCACACTAATAAGATTGATCATGTCAAACTGTAGCTGATCTTTCCTCTCTTCTTCTTCTTCTTCTTCTTCAAACACATTCTCTCTCACACATTTCTCAGCAAAAAAGAATGAAGACAGTGTGTGTAACTGGTGGATCAGGCTATATTGCTTCATGGCTTGTCAAATTCTTGCTGCTGCGCGGTTATACTGTCAAAGCTTCTGTTCGTGACACCAGTTCAGTAAAATATATATATATATATATCTCAATGTATATATATGTATGTGTGCGTGTGTGTGCCTTCTTTATCACTAGCTCTAACCATCTGACGATTTGAGCTAATAACAGCAGTGTTTTCATGAGCTAAAAAGTTAAATCATCATTTGTTTATCAAACAGAGGGAGTAATTTATTTGAATTATGGAATCTATAATATAATGGTGTTTTTATTTGTGCCATGGTACAAATGTGCAGATGATCAAAACAAGACACAGCACTTACTCTCACTTGATGGTGCAAAGGAGAGGCTTCAATTGATAAAAGCAGATTTAAATGAAGAAGGCTCCTTTGATGCTGTTGTTGATGGCTGTGACGGCGTTTTCCACACCGCCTCTCCATTTTTCCTTTCAACTACTGATCCACAGGTTTTCGAGCCTTCACCATTATTTCTTCTTTTCTGTTCATATACAGTTGAAGTCTCAAATCAGTTATGTTGTGTGTGTGTGTGTGTGTGTGTTTCTAACTTAAATCAGTTCATATTTCTTTCTTTGTTTTACTCTTACTTTTGTGTGTGTTTTTCTAACTTAAATAAGCTTAATCTCACCACTTTCAGGCAGATTTGATTGATCCTGCCCTGAAGGGGACTCTGAATGTGCTCCGATCATGTGCGAAAACACCGTCAGTCAAAAGGGTCGTTTTGACTTCATCAGTAGTTGCCGTTTTCGCCAATGGCAATCCTCGAACTCCTGAAGTTGTTGTTGACGAGACTTGGTGGTCCGACCCTGAGTTTTGCAGACAAACACAGGTCAGTGTTCAATTCTGCTCTTTAAAAA